TGTGCTTAAGGAAGTACACACACAAGTCCTCATCTACACCTAGAATTGATTTACATTTCTAGACTTTGAGTTAATGCTGTAATGGCATGAGAGTTTGGGGGTGCTCAGGTGGAGGATGAGTATATTTGGCATACTGGAAGAATGTGACTCTTTGGAGGTCAAATTGTGGTAGCCAGGTTCCTAATATTCATGCTTTTGCATAATTTCCTCCCACACTCTTATCAGGGATGATTTGTGGGATTAAGAGAATACAGGACAAGTAATGCATCACTTTGAGTAATTTTAGCTTGTCTCTTTCTTGGATCAATTTCTCTGGGGAAGGCCAGGTGCCATGTTGTGAGGACATGCAGGTAGCCCTGTGAATGAACCATCTTGGAGGTGAATCCTCTCTGACCAGGTCAAGTGTTCAGAAGACTGCAGTCCAGCCAATAGCTTGACTGCAAACTCATGAGACCCTGGGCCATGAGACCTAGCTGAACCACTCCTGCATTCTGACCCTCAGGAACTGTAAGAGGTAAGTATTTTTAGTTTTAAGCTGTTAAATTAAGTCTTGGGGCAATTTATTATACAGCAATAAATAACTAATACAAGTTCACACATTGCTTCATGTGTCTTTTAGGTGAGTCTCTTTTTAATCTACATTTGTTTCCATCTTCTCTCCCTCCTGCAACATATTTGTTGAAGTTAATTTGTCCCATGATTTCCATAGATGAAAAATTTCTGATTGCACAGCCACTGTGTTTAACACATTCTCTGTATTTCCTAATATCAGGTTCAGTTTTTTTGGCGCAAGTTTTTAATAGGTGATGGTGTGTTTTTCCATTAAGAGGCATATAAAGTTTCCTTATTTGTCATGTTAGCAGCTGTTGATATACAATGAATAAACCTATTTATTCATTAGGAATCTTAAAATTTTCTAATTTTATCATTCATTCTTCATTTATTAATACATTTATATAAAAAACTTCCCCTCATTTACTTACCTGTGGTACAGTTCATATAGGAAAGACAGTACAAATAATTACCTTTTTAAAAACTGGTTTTCAAAATAATGATTCCAGAACATCCTTCAGTGTTGATCAATTAGATGCTTTTTGTTAGTTTTATTATCATTAAGAACTCATGAATATAAGGACATTTGATAATTTCAGATGTTCCAATCCATTGCATTTGGTATGTCCCAGTTTGTGCTCAAGGGGATTTCAGAATTTCTGTGAACCTGTGTGTCCTTATTGATACTCAAAGTGTTCCATCTTTGGCCAGAGGAATGCTTTTCAGTTGGCTCCTGACTCCATTTGACATGATCCTAGTAGCCTATGACAGCTTCCTTGCTAAATTGCACAACAAAATGTTCCAGGCTCATTGTGTACATTTCCTGTACCTAAATGAAATCAACTATTACTCCAAGGGCTTATGATATCTTTTGAACAGAGATTTTAAAAATGTATTTGAATGTAATTCTTTCTTTTTATAGGTTTTACCTACTATAAGAGCATAAAGATATCTATCTTGTCTTCTGAAGTTTTAATAGGTTTTCCTTTCACATTTAAATCTTTAATTCACCTGGAACTGACTTTTCTGTATGGTGTTGACTAGGGAGGTCCAATTTAATTTTCTTCCATATGGATATCCAGTACCATTTATTGAAATGCTCTTGCTTTTCCCATTGGCCTACAATGTCATCTGTCTTAAATCAATATCCCTTATAAGAGTGAATCCATTTCTAAAATCTGTATTTCAGTACAGACATACTTCATTTTATTGTGCTTCACTTTATTGTGCTTCACAGATATTGTGTTTTTTACAAATTGAAAGTTTGTGGCAATGCGGCATTGAGCAAGACTATTGGCACCATTTTTCCAAAAGCATTTGCTCACTTCATGTCTCTTTGTCACATTTGGTAATTCTCAAAGTATTTCAAACCCTCCACCAGATAAAAGATTACAACTCACTGAAGGCTCAGATGAAGGTTAGCATTTTTTAGCAATAGACTATTTTTAAATTAAGGAGTGTATTTTTTTTTAGACAATGCTATTTCACACTTAATAGAATACAGTACAGTGTAAACATAACTTTTAAATCACTGGGAAACAAAAAAATTTATGTGACTCATTGTGATATTTGCTTTCTTGCAGTGGTCTGGAACTGAACCCACAAAACCTCCAAGGTATGCCTGTACTCCTGAGAACTAGAAAAGCTAGACAAAATATAAAACAAACATCTGAAGGCATCAGAGAGAGCCAATGAGGCAGTAGAAAATCCAGAAGAAGAAAAACCCAGAGTTGTTGAACCCAGCATTTACTATAGCTTTTTTCTGGGGTTACCTGCTGATTCCTGAGAAGAAGATAGCTGAGAAGCTGAACAGACCATCTGACTAACTCAGTGAGTCAAAAAGACAAAAACTGGAGTTCAGAGCCTGCCTTTGTTAACTCTACAGGCTTCAAGTTGAGATCTCAAAGGTCTATACCTTAGGAAAAAGTTTGAACTAGAAGTAGAACTTCCAGTCATCTCAGCCACTGACCAGATTAAGGTGATTTTGGATTACTAGTGCCCAGAGCCCCTGCCAGGAGACATAAATCCTTTCTATCATCATTTTAGACCTCAAAGTATAATTTCATATACCAGTTCTGGCATTCAATCAAAAATAACATAACATAAATTAACAAAAATTTTATAAATAAAAATAATATAATATAAACAAAAAACTCATAAAAGTAAGATAATATGATAAACAACAAACACAACAAAGAAACAAGGAAGCTTCAGACAACAGCAGACCCCACAGCTACTAGACACTTTTTTTTTCTTTTGCGGTACGTGGGCCTCTCACTGTTGTGGCCCTCTCACTGTTGTGGCCTCTCCCGATGCGGAGCACAGGCTCCGGACGCGCAGGCTCAGCGGCCATGGCTCATGGGCCCAGCCGCTCCGTGGCATGTGGGATCTTCCTGGACCGGGGCACGAACCCGCATCCCCTGCATCGGCAGGTGGACTCTCAACCACAGCGCCACCAGGGAAGCCCCTAGACACGAGTTTTAAAGTAGTTATGCTTAATATGTTTGAAAAGATAAAAGATCAGAATGAGACAGATAATTGGATAGCTAACTGGAAACTATAAAACAGAACCAAACAGAAATGCTTGAACTGATAACAACCAAAAACATAACTGAAATAAATGCTTCAACAGATAAGTTTCACAGGAGATTAGAGACTATTAAAGAGAAGAGAGTGAACTGAAAGGTAAGAATTATCCAGAATGAACCATACAGAGACAAATAAATGGAACATAAGGGATAAATTGAAATGACTGAATATTCATTTAAGTGGCATACCAGGAGAGGAGAGGGCAGAGAGTGGGGCAGAAACAATAACTGATAAGAGCTGAGAACTTTCCAAAACAAAGTAAGACATGAGATCCCAGATGCAAGAAGCATTATAAACCTCAAAAAGAAAACAAATTTAAAAAAAAACAAAGAAAACAACGTTTAGTTACATCATAATAAAACTGCTTCAATTTTACTATGGACATCTTATAAACAGCCAAAGGAAAAAACAGATCACTTTAAGGGGGCAAAAATAAAACCAACATTTTTTCTCAAAAAAAACTGGAAGCCAAAAGCAATGGAATGTATCTTCAGAATGATAAAATACAATAGCTGCTAATTTAGCAAAAATGTTCTTTGAAAATGAAGGTAAAATAAGTAGTTTCAGGATACAAAAACTGAATTTGTTACCAGCAGCCATCTACAAAGGAAATACTGGAGCATGTTCTTCAGGAAGATGAAATAAGATCCCAGATAGAAGCTTAGAAACTCAAGGAATCATAAAGTACAACAGACAAAGTAAATGTTTGAGTAAATATAAACACACATTAATTGTATAAAAATAATAATGTCTTAAGGAATTAGGAAGTATATATTAAGTAAACACAATATATATAACATGCAGTGGGGCAGTAAATTAAGTTGATGTGTTCTCAGGTCCTTACATTGTCCAGGAAGAGTATAATATAAATTTCTAAATAATACATAACTGTCAAGCTTATGGGGTAGAAGAAATGGATTAAAAATAATCAATCTAAAAGAAGGCAAAAAAGGAGAAACTGAACATAGGAGAGATGCGACAAACAGCAAATACAGTAAGTCCCCTACATATGAACGAGTTCTGTTCTGAGAGCACATTCCTAAGTCCAATTTATTCATTAAATCCAATAAAGTTAGCCTGGGTGCCCAATGAACACAATTGTCTATACATTACTGTACTGTAATAGATTTATAATACTTTTCATACAAATAATACATAAAAAACAAACACAAAAAATAAAGAAAACATTTTTAATCTTACAGTATAGTACCTTGAAAAGTCCAGTAGTACAGTACAACAGCGGCATACAGGGGCTGGCATTGAGTGAACAGGCAAGAAGAGTTACTGACTGGAGGAGGGAGAAGAGGTGGGAGATGGTAGAGCTAAAGGATCATTGGCAATAGGAGACAGAGGGCAAGCTGCAATTTCACTCATGCCTGACGTTGATGGCACAGTTCTGGTTCATTGCTAGATTCAATTCTATCGTTTTTTCTCTTGAAAAAACAATCCAGTGATGTCTGGGTAGCTATATAGTACTGTACAGTAAAGTACACAAAAGCACAACCACTTGTAGAGGATGCACGCATATGACAATGTAAGCCAGACACGTGAACTAACATGTGACTGGACATGTGAATGCATGGTCGCATCTTTGAAAGTTCACAACTTGAAGGTTTGTATGTAGGGGACTTACTGTAATATGATAGATTTATGTCCATGTATATTAGTAATTGTGTTACATGTGAGTCAACTAAACATTTCAATTACAAAAATATCATTAAAGTAGATTTTAAAAATATATTCTTGCCTATAACTCCTCAGGTTAAAATGCTTTTTCCACCACACTTAGAATAAAATCTAAACCCTTTCCTGGCTTTCAATGCAACCATAATTTAGCTCTTTCCTACCCCCAAACTTACTCTTCTTGTAGTCACTATGCTCTAACAAGGCAGGCCTTTTTTTCGTTCCCAAAATATTCCAAGATAGTTCATGCCTCAGGGTTTTGCATTTTTGTCCCCTCTGCAAGCAACGGTTTCCTCAATTTCTGCAAAGCTGGATTCTCCTGTCAAATAGCAGTTTAAATAAAAACACACTTTTAGAAGTTTTCCTTAGTGACCTAATCTAAAATATTCATCTACGTTAATTCTCTGCCTAGCACTATTACTAACTTATATTTTTCTTGTTTATTTATTTATGGTCTGTTATCACTAAAATGTAGTAGGGACCATGTCTGCTCTATTTATCACAGTTTCCCCAAGTATAGAACAGTGACTAGGACAGAGTGGATACTCAAATACTTAAAGAATGAATAAAGCTAACTTAGGTTTTAAACTTTTCTAACGGTTTTATTGCTCTCCGTGGTGGCTGTTTAAAGACCTTCCTGATACCAAAAGGTATCAAATGATATCAAGATCTCATTTATGTACGTTAGTAATCCTTGAAAATGTGCACTGTATAATTTGTGTAAAATTTGCAGGAGTTTTTCCACCAGTCAGATATGTAGTACAGTCTTAGATATAACTATAATAACAATAGAGAAAAGTTTCAGAGGGAGGCTACTGAACTATCAAAAAGTTGCAATACACTTCTGAAGAACATGTGTGTTTGTATGTTTTTCCCAAATTAGAAAGGTGAGAGTAATATAGGTGGATGTTACAAAGCATAAATTTTTTTGGGGGAAAAAAAGCTCCTTTCATCTATTCCTAAGTAAAAAAAATAAAAAAAAAATTACCCCCTTACAGAAAGGTTGTTTTAGAGTGGTAATTCCAGTAACGATGATTGATATATTTTTGTTACTTCCTTTTTTACTCTTTGTTCTATACTTAGTTTTTTCATGTCAAAGCAATCATACTGGTCACATTTTCCATTAGAAAGGCCAGTTTAATGGCTTTTAAAAAATAGCTAGATAATATTCCACTAAGTATATATGATAGAATTTGACCAATCTCTAATTGTTAAAGATTTTTCCTAATTTTTTATGATGATAAGTATTCCTACGGCTAACATTTTTGTCCATAAATTATTTTAAGGGCAGTTTAACTGAAGTGATTTTTGTCCACAACATTCCTTTAAATGGTATTTCTCAAGGGGAAGAGGGTGGGCAACACAAGAAGGTCCCAGGCATTTATGTCTAATTAGGAAAACAATATACATTGCGCAGAGGTGGGGGGATTACAAAGGCACTGCACAAGAAAGCGTAAGTTATTATATTTACTAAAGTAAGAAAAAGCAGTGGAAATTTATCAGGGGAGCTAATCTGGAAAACATTTTGCAAAGAATATGGAGCTAGACTTCAAGAAAGTGATAGGTCTTAATGGTCGAAAACGTTCCAGATAGGTGGAGGTCCTGAAGGACGAGGTAACTATTTGTTAGTGTTCTTAAGTACTAGGGAACAGTTCTCACTCAGGACAACTCATCACAAAGCCTGAATAGTGAGCAACCAAGATTTTTTTAAATCAAAGATTCGACTCCTAACTCCCTTGACAAAAACAACCAAATTTCTTCTTAATCTCCATCATCCACATCTTCTCCCCCCTTTCATTAGTTTCCCCTTTTTTTGTACCTTTGTCTAAGACCCTCATCTATTTTAAGTAATGGAAATAGGTAAATTCCTCTACTTCAAGGCATGTAACCTTACACAACATTATAATTACTCTGTGGGATTAAAAAAAAGACTGGGAGGTTGCAGCTTTAAAACATGCATGCATTTTAATCTTAAAAAAATTACTTATAACAGATTTTTCACACTGTAACAGAAACATTAAAGGATATTAACCAAGAGTTATTTATCAACTTGCCATATACCAAATAAGGAACACAGAACCCCATGATCTATTTAAAATGATCAGCAGATAACAAACACTGTGATTTCCTTTCGTTTACTCTGGCAGGAATGGATTCCAACCTAATAATTTCAGTCTTACTGCCACATAGGAGATGCTTTGTGAACCTCAATGAGGCTGCCAGGTCTAGGGCAGATGTAAGACCCACAGTGTCAGAAAGGAGAGTAAGACTTAGCAGGATGTGTTGTCACTGACAGACTTATAGCCACTTTCCTTCTCCACTTTTTCTTCCTCAAGGATCGCAGCTGCTTTCCACAGACACACCTGCCGACAGACTCCAATTCCTCTCTCCCAGTTACCATCTGCAGTGCCCTGGGGCTTGTCAATTTCCAACCGTGTTCCATACAGCAGAAGTGGAACGAACCCTCAGCGAAGTTCTGGATTCAACCTCAGCAGGATCTGTTTCACAAAATATTTCCCAGCCCCACTCCACCTCCAGCTGTTTCCAGTGTTAGTACTTATGATTCTTACATCTTTTTTAACTGTCACACTATGCATCTCCCAATAAAATTTAAAGTGAAAACTAATATAGAGTAACTGCCCTATGCATGCTTCTTTTAGATAGCTGGGAACTCTGATTCTCAGGATCTTTCGACCATTTATAGCTTGGGTATCTGTGCTCTTCAGGTACTTTGGTAAGGAAGGTAAAACTTAACATCTCTAACCACCCCTGCCAACCCAATTTTCTTAAGTTCTTCTGAAGCTTCCTAGTCTCCCATTCCAATTCCAGCTTTACGACAAAACTAGACCCTATGGCAAAAAGAGATCCCACAGATGAAATTGCAGATACAGTTGAGACTTAAGCAAGGATCCCTAAATTGTGAGATGAATTTCTGGGTTAAAGGTACTCTGTATATGCACTTCAAGCCTGCCATTAGTACTATGCATAACCAAATAGAGAGTTTATAGGTACAGAAAACAACACAACATTTTGAGGGTATATGGGAGTTGTCTTTTGGAAAAAAAAAAACAAAAACAGCACAACATTAGAAGGTATACGGGAGTTTGACTTTTTTCCATCTGATGACATATACTTTTTAATCTAAATGGAAACCCTCCATACTGGAATGTATTAAATAGGCAGAATTCTCTTGCCGGTTTCTCTGCTCTTGGTAGATGTCCTTCTGGCTTTAGCTGGTACCTGTAATGAAGAAACTTCTCACGAACAAATTCCACTGCCCTGAGGAAGGATAGAGCTGGAAGAGCCACTAAAGCAGGGAGCAGAGACGACAGAGAGACAGGTCTGTAAGGAAAGTCTCCAAGAAAAGGCAGCTAGAAAAACGAGAAGGTAAAAAGAGAAAGGGCGTGGCTGAGCTGAGGCAATTTCAGTGTTGTCTCAGCAAGAGCGGGGCTTAACTGTGGTTTTCTCCCGCAAGAAATCCTTTGGATCTTGAGTCGGCTCCCACCTCATTCACCAACCTTTATCTCTATCACCTTGTAGAGAGAGGGTGCGCTCTTGCCAACACCACCCAACCCACCTCTGGATCCTCACAGGCGCAACAGCGGCGCGCCTCCCGCCCACCTACCTACCTGTGCTGCGCCTGCGCCTCCCGCGTGCGCTCTCAAGGTCAGCACCTCCCCCAGCCTCTAACCTAGCGCTCACGGAAGTGGCAATGAAGGACGTCTTGCGTAGCCTCACCTCTGCGTGGCGTGGGGTCGCCGGCGTTCAGCAGAGGGGAGGGACTTCCTGTCCCGCTCAGGCTGAACTTCCGGCAGAGCCGGAAGATCTTCTCTCTCGCGGTGTCGAGTGGATCACGGCTGTAGAGTGGTGAGGGTAGGTCCTGGACGGCCCCGGCGACTCCTGGGCGTCTGGTCCACGACCTGTCCTTGGCGCCATGGTGAGTCTTCTTGTGAGGGCTGGAATAACAACAGTCGGGAGGAAGGGGCCGGGAGGTCAGTGCTGTGAAGGGAGCCGGTCGGGTGCCCAGCTGAGGATGGAGCGGGCGGGAGCAATGGGGTGAGCGGTAGGACAGGACCTACCACCTGCCTCGGGGCGCCGGGGCCCTAGAGGAAGCAGCATATGTCCTGCCCAACCGCGAGATCTGTTCAGGAGTACGGAATAGGTAGTCAGAATGTTCATGGCCCATTTACTGTGTATGGCCGTGGGCCAGGTGGTCCCAGAGTTGACCTTGCCTCGTTGATGATCTCCTCCCTTTACTCTCAGCTGTAGGGCAGTGGCCAAGAAGTTCATATCTTATAAATGCCTATAGGCTTTCCAGGTGGACACAGTACATTCCCTTCTTGTAAAGGATTAGCACCTGTCACTTAGAGAAAGGGCAAAGTAAAGAAACGGCAAAGTCAGTTTGTCTTTCAAACTCAGCCCTTGTGGAGTTGGAAAAGGTGTCAAATAAAAAATCTGGACTTAATAAGCAGGGTCTATATTCGAAAGGAATAGCAAGGGCGTGGGCGAGGGAACTATTGGAGTGGGGAGAGTGCCCTGACCATAAGATCTGCTAGAGTCTCAAAGATTAGGAAAAAGAGCTTCTCTTTTAAAAAGGGCAGGAGGAAACAAGGCTAGAAAGAACTGGGTGTGGGGAAGTGAGATGAAAGGGTAGTACGATTGGACTGTAAATCAGAGAAAGTTTTACCCCCACGCAAACCTGTTCTGAGGAAAAACTGTTGGGGGGTTATATCCTGTTTCAGACTGAGGGTGGGCCAAAGTTCAGGAACCTAGGGGAAGAGATCTTGGAATTTGGGTAATATTTTGTTCCGGTTGCTCTATGGGGACAAGCAGTTCAACTAGTCAGTTTTGAAGCAAAGAATGGGAATTTGCAGGTGCTATGTCTGCCCTTGTTATAGGTAAACAAGGTGGGTGGGTAATTCCTGAGTCTTGCTCACCTAAGTCCTATGGGGACTGTTGGTTCTTTGCAGTAAGCCATTTCCAGATCACAGAAGGGTGGCAATGGGAGGATTTCTTAACCTTTGCTGTTTCCCAATATCACAGGGATTTGGTAATGTTCAAAATTGTCAGTTACTTGACTATATAAAAGATTTCAAATCCTCATCTGAAGACATTCTGTCTTGGAATTTGGAGTTTGCCATATTTTTTCAGGATCAAATGTTGACATTGTTCAGCTGCTCTGTATGGTGATTCACGTTTGAATGATTTATAGAAACTTAACTGACTGTGAAACAAAAGAATTTCAAAATAATGTGGTTCCTGGTGCTCTCTACCAGCTAACTTCTGACTCTTTCGGGCACCGGTGTGTGTGTGTGTGTGTGTGTGTTTGTTTCTTTAAACCTCAGTGAATGGTACAATTTGTAATCATTAACAGTTTTTTTTTCCTCCTTTTGTATCAATGAAATTAGACAAAGATAAGGAACAGTAGAACTGGAAGGCACCAAAGATAATAACTACCGTAACCACCTTCCCCCCTCCCCCCCAACCCCAATTTAATAGAGGGAAGGATCTGACGTCTAGAAATAGGCAGTGATTTACTTAAAGTAGTGATAGTTTGGCACAGTCTGGACTATAACCCAAATCTCCAGTTCTTAAATTTCAGCTTAGTATTTGATATCTTGGTCTGAAAAGTTGAAGATAGGGTGTAATTAAAAACTTTAAATTGTCACAAAGAAGCTGAATGTGAACTTGTCAGTATTCTGTAGTAATAGAAGTAGAACCCCTCTCCCCCTGCCAGCTCAAAAAAAGGTAGTTTTGTTTTAAGCTAAGGTAAACTCATGATGTTTATCAAAATGCCACTTAAGAGAATGTCACCTGGAGAATGTCACCAGGAGCCAGATAGTTTACTCTCCATTTTGTTATTGCTTATAGTTCTGAGTTAATTACTAAGCTTGCAGCTTTACCTTCCCCAACTATGAAATTGATAATGTCTGTATATGCAAGTGTGGTCATTGCCTGGAATCCTTCAAAGGAAAGGGTTTAACTATTATATGAAGTGAACAAGGGTTGAATTTGTTTAGGATTCAGCTTAGTTGAATTGAGGTCTTGTGCACTGCTTGGTCCTAATATAATGAAAAGGGCACAGAAGTCAGAAAACCCAGATTCTGCCCATTATTATATGAATTGGGCAAAATCACTCAACATAGATAAGAATTCCAATTTCCTTCTAGATAAGAGAAGTGGAACTTGATAGGAATTAAAACACCTTTTAACTCTAATATTTATGATTTTGTGACTTCACCCAGGACTTTTTTTCAGAATTTTCAGAAAGTTTCTGATTAAGTAAAATTTAGTCTGATTTCCACTGTCCTGTCCCCCCATCCTCAAGTTTGATTTTCTTTTTTTTTAAATCATTCACCTTTTAATTTTTTAATATATCAGGTTGGTAATACTTGGAATCTTTGTCAATATGTTTGGTCAAGTAATTTACTACTGTTTTAAATACAATTATGGAATGGAAAGCAAAGTCTTTTTTATTTTACACCTTGATTTTATTTTTGTTTTAGTCGATATAAACTCATGATCCAGACCAAGAATACTGAGTATTCACTCTTAATTTTTTTGCTTTCATGTTGTGAGAATGGATAGTCCATAGAAAATTTACTAAAGGAATAAAGCTATTATCTTTTTGAAAGTTATAGACCAACTTTAATCAAATAGATCTTTACACCATTTAGGCTGATTTGTGGGAGAAAAGTAGATTCGAGCTAAGTCCTGGAATTGTAGGAATCGCATGGCTTATTTTATCTATGTAACATCCTCTAGTAACTTTTACTGTGGGATTGTGCTGTGGTGTGTTAGTTGTGAAAAAAAGGTTGTGAACCTCTGCCTTAATCAGAGTTAATGAGAAAGTTTTCTTTTTGGGGAATGGGGAGGGCTGTTGGGAAGAGATAATGTGGTATAAGTTACAAGAGAAATACATGTAATGTGTTCAAAGAATAGTACAGAGAAAAGAAATTAATTCTAATGGGGGGGGAGTCATGTAATAGGTGACTTCAACTGAGTTTTGAAAAGTGTATTAGGACACTAGTTCTCAACTTAAGTTCACATAGGATTCACCTGTGATGCTTGATAAAAATGCTTATCTGGTCTCCATTATTGGGGGGTGGAGTCTGAGAATTTAATTTTTAATGAGTTTTACAGTTAAGTCCGAAACTCGTGGTCCTTAAAGCACTTTGAAGGAACTCTAATGCAGACATTAGAAACTTTGATGGAGATATTGAAGTTTTTGTGCTGAGTGATAATCAGATGTGTGGTTTGTTGATGTGGTGGATTACTTTAATTGATTTTTGAGTGTTGAACTAGCCTCAAATACCTGGAATAAATTCCAATTTGTTGTGGTGTATAATTCTTATACACTGTTAAATTTGATTTGCTGGTATTTTGTTTAGGCTTTTTGCATCTATGTTCATGACAGATACTGGTCTGTAGTTTTTGTTTTTCTTGTAATGCCTTTGCCTGGTTTTGGTAGTAGGGTAATGCTGTCCTCATAGAATGAGTTAGGAAGTATTCCCTCTGCTTCTGTCCTCTGAAAGAGATTGTAGAGACTTGGTATAATTTCTTCCTTAAATGTTTGGTAGAATTCACCAGTCCACCCTACTGGGCCTGGTGCTTTTTGTTTTGGAAGGTTATTAATTATTGGCTCAATTTCTTTAGTAGATATAGGCCTATTCAGATTGTCTATTTCTTGTGTCAGTTTTGGCAAATTGTATTTTTCAGAAATTGGTTAATTTCATCCAGGTTATAAAATCTACGGGCATAAACTTGTTCATAGTGCTTCTTTATTATCCTTTTAATGTCCATGGATCTGTAGTGATATCTCCTGTGTCATTTCTGATATTAGTAATTTGTGTCCTCTCTTTTTTTCTTACTTGGCTTGTCTAGAGGCTTATTGATTTTATTGATCTTTTCAAAGAACCAGCTTTTGGTTTTATTGATTTTTTCTCTGTTGGTTTCCTCTTTTCAATTTCATTAAAAATAATTCACATTATTTCTTTGCTTTTGCTTACTTTGGATTTAGTTTGCTCTTTTTCTTGTTTTGTAAGGTGGAGCCTTAGGTGATTGATTTAAGATCTCTTCTAATATATGCATTCAATGCTGTGAATTTCCCTCTAATCACTGCTTTTGCTGTATCCCATAAAATTTGATTAGTTGTGTTTTCATTTTCATTTAGTTCATAGAAATTAATGTTTTTAATTTCTCTTGAGATTTCCTCTCTGACCCTGTGTTATTTAGTCTCCATGTATTTTGGGATATTCCAATTATTTTCTGTTACTGATTTCTAGTTTAATCCCATTGTGATTTGAGGGCAGACAATGTATGTTTTCTATCCTTTTAATTAGTTAAATGTTTTATGGCCCAGAATGTGCAGTTTGAAGGATGGATTCTGGTCAGGTTTCATTAGTTTGCCACTTAGTGGCGGAGATTTGGGCCTCTTCTCAGTTCTCTGACTTTTCTTCCACTTCTTTACTAATTCTTTCCAAAAGAGGCTTAGTTCAAATAATCATAGAGACTGTTCTCTTGGTTAGCATTTGGTTGATTCAAGGTTGAATCTGTTTTTTTTTTTTTTTTTTTTTTTTTTGCGGTACGCGGGCCTCTCACTGTTGTGGCCTCTCCTGTTGCG